TATTTATTTTAATTATAAATTATTATAAATTAGTTATAAATTTTTACAAAATCAAAATTATGAAAAAAATTTTAATTAATACTTTACAATTTCAATTTAATTAATTCAACTTAAAATTTGTTTTGTTGAATTAATTGTAACTTAATTAATGGAAGGAGGAAATTTGCAAGGATACAAATACAGATAATTCAAAATGTTAATTTTTAAAATGAAATAACAGAATTATAATAGATATATATGTATATATTTGATTTGTACATTTATAATTATAGATGATAAGAGATTAACTAGAAAAAATGTTTATGTAATCTCTCTTTCTCCGATCTTATCAATGATTATATTTCTATAACAGAAAACAGTTTTCACATGAATATGTTATAAGATACTAAAATGGTAATTCAATTACGAACGTTTCATGAAAAAATAATTAAAATGTAAATTGTAAAATAACAATAAATTTTCTTCGTGATAATTTTTATGAGATCTAAACCAAGGCATGCATTAATCTACATATGTATACAATATGTTACATTAAAAAAATTCTGAGATAAAAAAATTTAATAACATAATAAAATCCGATATTTATGTATTAAAATTCAATATTATTTTCAATACTAATACAGTGTAGTAATCAATTATTTTTGTAATATATATGTAAATATGATCTAATCGCCTTGGTAATATGGATTTCGTTGCGACATGATAAAAAAATATTATATATCATTTATATCTAACGCTAAAAATAGAATATTACAGATTTAGTTATTCGTTGCACATAATTCATGATAAAAATGCCCCGCGCACGTCGACCCGACATAAAATTAATATGTAAAACCATAATTATACCCAAATATATAAGAGAATCTTTATGATTTAAATAATACTTTGCTTATCCACAATTAGAAATTCCTTATTGAGAATATTTCTTGAAATTATCGATCTTCTGTTTGTCACCCTTCTGTTCATTTCCCTCTCTTTTTATATATATATATATATATAACATTACATTTTTGGTCCGTTTTACATTGCTCTGTACAATATTCGATTCCCTCTTCAAACTGCATAGCCAATTTATGAAGCTAACCGTTGCTACGTAAAGAATAAAATGACGTACTTCGTAAAGCGGTGGACGCTGTCTTTCTGTAAGTACTGCGTCGATACCGCGATCAAGTTCGTCCGTATTTCTTGCGCAGTACTATTCTAATATGCTATTCTAGTGTGCTTAAAATAGAAAAAAATCCTCTCTTTCATCTATATAACATAACACAAAGTCCACACACTTTACTTAAACTATTTAACATTCATGTAATCTATCTATGGTTCATATAATACAATTCATTCCCTACGTTAACTCATCCGTGCACAGTTTTCTCTCCTCCTCCACTCGCTGCCGAGTACGATTAAAAGCCTCTGTCTTCACGAAATCCACGGTTTTGTACACAGTCGTACTTGGGAGGGGTTGTGCGGGCGGTAACGTCGAGGAATTAAAGCTCTCTGTCGTTTCTAAATCAAGATCCAAATACTGCAGTACCACTAAGCGATTAGACGCCGGAATAAATGTATTATGATCTTGATAATAGTATATCTGGAAATCAAATTACGCATAGCGGATAAAATCACATATCGTGCCACGTCATGTAACGACTAAGATTACACACAATTCTTAGAATAGCTCTACAAACCTCTTCTCTATCCTCGAATGCGTTATTGTCTTCATCCGACGTCGACTGATGACGTATCGAATGCATATGCGACGGAGGCGTCGGACTGGGTGCCGCCCGTATTCTTCCTCTTCCAGGTGGAGACGCTAATTGTAGATGAGGTGCTGTGAGAAATTTTACATGTTAAATATTTCTCTTATTACATATAAAAAAATAGATAAAGAAAAAAAAGTCTACCTTCCACCGGTGATTTATTCAACGATGGTTTCAACTTCCTGTTGATGGTCGGCGGTTCGGCCGGAGAATGTTCAGCAGAACTTACATCATATAGTGCTATTGTCGGACCCGGTGATGGTTCGTTGCTTATGATAGACATTGAGTCGCTAGTTTTTCTGCCCGGCTTTAATTCTCTGTACACCATCGGCGGAGGCGGCGCCATGGTGGTTGGTACACCGCTCGAACAACTGTCTCGCACGAGAGGACTCGGTAAATTCGAGTATGTCGCTGTAGTCGAGTTTTCAGAGCGCGGACTTGATGGCTCAATGTCGTGGAAATCATAGCGGAATACATTCTGTGTCTCGTCATTAATGGTACTCGGTGCTGCGTTTGAGTAGAAATGTTTTGACGACTGTTCGATCGCCATTGTGTTGCTCTCGACGGCCGTTTGTGCCGCTTGCGGTTGATGAGATCTAGGAAAATCGTATGACTCATCGGTCACGGTAACCATTGTTGTTGTAACGGCAGCAGGCGTCGTTGGCGCCGGCGTCGCTGGGGTACTCGGTTTCGAGCTTTCGGTAGCACCATCTAGATTCAGGTAGTTGTGACCAGGATTTTCGGGTAACATATGAGGCGGTTTCGGTGGTCTGGGTGGTGCTGGCAACTTCTCCACGGCTGGTGGTATCGCGGAATCAACAATTCTGAGCTTGCCAAAGCGTTTTTTCACACTCCACGAACCAATTTCATGGTCACCCGGACCATGAGGTTGTCGCGAATCACCTGTCACAATTTTATTTCATTAGTAAAGATAAGAAAAATAAATTAAATCTCACGCGCAAACATTCACCCGTTGAAGGAAGCGTGTCCCAATTCGCACTCGGCACAGACGTTGTCCATTCGTCGTCGGTGAAAACGCTCTCGGCATCTGTTGTCGTGGGTGATCGCGGTGGCGAGGGTGCCAATCTTCTCGGGGCATCGTAATGTTCGGGTCCTTGTCCGAGAGCCGAACTCAGAGAACTGGTATCGTTGAGCCGACGACCGGAAATGCACTCGCTAATAGGAATGTAAGGACCAGAGATCGTGCTAGTGGGCGAAGTAGGTGGGGATTCTTGAGACTCGTATTGAAACACTAAAAAAAAAGTTGAGATATACTATGTAGTATTATCAATACTCGGATCAGATTAGAAATTGAGAATGGATTGGAATTTGATCGATCAAAATTCACTAAATTTGATATTGGTATTTTTTTCTTTTAATACGGACATTATATAAGTCTGTTTTCTGTGGTTCACTTTTGGAACTTAAAGTGAAATAGATATATGTTTGATATTTGTCGAAAGCAAGAAAGATAGTTCTAGTGCAGGAACAAAAAACAAACTATATATAGGCTCATTTTAAATAGACTGCTTTTTGTTTAGTTACATAAGTTGATACAACATCATTCTGTCTTTCTACATTTAATGTAACAATTGTATCGACGTGTCAAAATAAAAAACGTAATCTATAGTTTATATCTTTGTATGATTTTATCCAACGTTTAATATACTTGTTTTATATTTATGCAAACATGTATAAGCAACAAAAAGTCCTTTACTGATATAAGTTACTGTTTCTTTGTTATTCATGGCATGCCAAGAAAGACAGAATAATGTTTGATTGACTTGTATTAAATGAAAAGCATTGAGAGTTAATACAAAATGGTAGTCTCATTACTTTGTTGCTCCTCATCCTGAGTGTATGCCTTCAAACCGCAAACTTGGCACACCGCATCTACCCATTTGTTCATATCCGCTTCGTTTTCAGCAACTAAATAATAGATCCTTTTCGGCGTTTTCACATTAAACATGTACTGATACTTCTGTTTACGATTTTCAAATCGAAGACCTGCGTCCACCTGTGGCAGAATGTTAATAAGTATCCGTATAGCTCATGAGAATAAATTCTATGAACGTGATGGATACCTGTTCGCACTGATCTAAATCGATACGACCTTTGAGCTTACGGCAGCGTCTGTCTGTGTAATATTCCAAAAAATATTGACCAGGTAGCTCTCCACTATGACGAAGGGCAAACCATCGCTTTCTCCATCGCTATTAAAAGAAGTTATCAGAGATAAGGCTATTTATCTTTATCTCAAACTTAAAATTAGCTGGAATACAACGAAGTTCCAATAAAAGTCTGAGTAACCAACAAATACATTCATCATATGAACGTTGAACCTCTTTTCATCGAAAACATAAGAATACACCAAGTCAAGAAAAACTCAAAATGATTTTATTTTGATGTCATAAAAGTTAAAATGATTTTTGGTTACAAAATATGACTATTTATTGATGTTAAGAATTATAATAAAGTCTTATCTTTTGTTGATTTTTATGCATTTCTAGTCCGAAAAATAATCAAAAGTAATAAAAAGAGAAACTAAGAATTTTTTAAAATTTTATATATATATA